AATAAATTTGGTTAGCATAAAAAAAGATACAGTGAGCCAACCTTAACATATAGACATATGCCGATAGTTGGGGAATATTTTTTTCCAAAATAATGTTATTTTTAGCATAATAACAATACTTAATAATTTTAATAATGTTTACGAGTCAGGTGTTTTGGTGTAAACTGTAAGCCTGACTTTTGAATTGAATAAATAAATAAATAAAATAAATATGCTGTCGCGGACTTTTTTTAGATCTTTTACAGGGAAACAATTCTGTCATAAATTATTTTAGCAAAACTTTAACCGTTCCTGCAGCGCACGCAGCGGAAGCTCTCAAAAGGGAAAAATAACTCCGATTTTGAAACATTCTTTATCGGTGCTCCGCTTGTATTAGTTTTAGCGCAATGTTATTGGCCTATATCCTTTCCCGATTAATGGGCTATCTAACACTGAAAGAATTTTTCAAATCGGACCAGTAGCTCCTGAGATTAGCGCGTTCAAACATACAAACTCTTCAGTCTTATAATATTAAGTACAGGTATAGATTATTATAGTGCCCTCACTAATGAATAGTTTTAATGAATGTTATAGTAACTTATTAGTAACCAAAGATTTGGTTATACTATTGATAGGTTGGTTTGACATAGTGTGGTAGTTATAAACACTGTTATTGTACGAGCTGTTCCCACGATTTTCACTTTCAATGGGTTCCCAATATTTCGGTGTGTTGCAAGCCAATGATCCCGGGCATGGGCAAACTGACGATCACTGGCAGTATGTTAGGAACAAACTAATCAGTCTACTTTAAATTACGGCTACTACATATTTTTTAGTCTTTTTTAAAATAATAAATAATAGTAGGTATTCATGATGTAGTTAACTGCGACAGTTCCAATTATTTTTACCAGTGAATTTGTAGGTAATACCTTAAATTGAGATTTTGATCTCATGCTTTGAAGCAATTCGTGTTATCTCTACGATATTAATTTTATCAAATCTGCAATGAAACAGTAATAGTTATTACGAGACACAAAAAAAAACCGCAGCCCGTGCCACATCGATTCGCTTGTAAATAAAAAGCAAGCATCTAAGCAAAACTGTAGGAATGTACCGCAAATGTATCCCTCGGTGCGCAATCTGAGGCCTCAAGTGTCAATAAATACATGTATCGTGCCGTTACGGGCGATATCTCGCACGCGGCGCGCCGGAACGCGCGTATTATCGCCACGGAACTGCCGCATCGACAAATTTCTTCATTCCGCCTACACTCTTGAACGAGCCTCCGTTTGAATAACAAACATTCATTGTAGACTGCGTCTGTGTCGCGCGTTTTGCTCATTATCCTATTGTTTTCCTCAAATATGTTTAAAGTCAGAGCTGTTTCTCTGTTCCTTGTTCACGTAAAATTCGTTCATGCATGGTTTTAAGAAGAATTGAAGAAAGTATGATGGCGTACGCGTCGATTACAATTGAGAGAGTGGTTACTAACTTCGACTACTACCTCATCCAATACGGTTACAATTTCAAATCGAAAGGAAACAATATTTGTTAGGTATATGATAAAACGGAAAATCCAGACACGGAATTAATTTTTTTTGTGAGATTGGCTACAGCAAAACTTGATTTGGATCCTCAAGATAAAAAAACAGATAATTGTTTTTATAAAATTAGATGACTTTTGTGTGTTTGTTTGTTCATGTGCCATGTGTTTGCAGTGCCATTTAATGGGATATATTTTCCAGTAGCTAGTGGCTAGTGGCAGGTTACTAGTAAATATACTACTGTGAAGTAATTGCCATGGGAAAGCGGGGCAGGCAGTTTTGCTGATGTCAAAAAGTTGAACACGTAAAATTGACCAGTTGGTTAATAGATGATATAACGTTGATACGTAATCGACTAATGTCAATTGATATATTGATATAATGTCAATTGGTATATACGACTTAGATGTGACTGTAACACACTATTGAATGTCAAATCTCCAACACAGATTCCGAAAAGTGTCTTGAGAAGAATTAAGTGTACAAACTCGGCACATTTGTCTACTTATAGTTCATAAGCATATCCTATTAGAAACTTTTGAGTATTTTAAGCTAGTGAGAAGATAGTGAGCACTTAGTGGAAGCATCAGGAGGACGTGAAGCAACGATCGAAGACTGGAATTTGTTATTGAGGCGAGAAGATTCTTAAAAGAGCTACTTATATCATGTAAGCGAGCTGTTCTTGTAACTATTTTGTTGCTGAGTAGAAATGAGTTTGAAAGAAAAGCGACCTAAACTTATCAAATCGGAAGTCATGACTATGCAGGAGCGGCTTGCAGGCAGGGTGGGTAGGGTAGCTACTAGGCTGGACACCTCAAATTACCGACGCCACTTCTCCGAGCTGGCTAACTGGAAAAGCTGGGATAGTTCTAAAGCTCCTTTTAAGCCTTCTTTACGAAGAGAATATAATTTATCATTGCCAATTTGGTGCTCTGTCTTGTTTATGTTTATTGGTAGTAGGACCTCTTGTGAGTCCGCACGGGTAGATACCACCACCCGGCCTATTTCTGCCGTGAAGCAGTGGTTTGAAGGGTGGGGCAGCCGTTGTAACTATCCTGAGACCTTAGAACTCATATCTCAAGGTTGGTGGTGGCATTTATGTTGTAGATGTCTATGGGCTCCGGTAACCACTTAACACCAGGCTGTGAGCTCATCCACCCGTCTAAACAATAAAAAAAAGTATTTATTTCTCCTAAGCAGTTTTACTAATTGTAGCCTTATAATTGTAATGTGTTGTTGTAATAATTGTTGCATCATCAACAACGACTGGTATTGCTTATGACGTGAAATCTACGGATCACCACTTAACATCAGGTGGGCTGTGAGCTCGTCCACCGATCTATGCAATAAAAATAAAAAGTTTTCTACCCAAACAAATATTAAATTATGTTTGTCGTTAACCGCATCACTCGGCGGCTGGACTTTAGTTCCAAAAAAATGATAAATTTATAAATCCACTAGCTTTTGCCCGCGACTTCATCCGCGTGGAATAAATAGTTCACAAATAATGCTTTATTTTATAACAAATTTGGCTAGCATAAAAAACGGTATAGTGAGCCAACCTTAACATACAGAGATATGCTGTCGCGGAATTTTTTTTGATCTTTTAAAGGGAAACAATTCTGTCACGCATTATTTAAGAGAAACTTTAACCGTTTTTGCAGCGCATGCAGCGGAAGCTCTCGAAATGTAAAAATAACCAAGATTTTGAAACATTCTTTATTGGTGCTCCGCTTGTGTTAGTCTTAGCGTGATGTTATATATCCTATAGCCTTCCTCGATAAATGGACTATCTAACACTGAAAGAATTATTCAAATCGGACCAGTAGTTCCTGAGATTAGCGCGTTCAAACAAACAAACAAACAAACTCCTCAGCTTTATAATATTAGTATAGACTATAGATAATCAACTATCCCAAAAGAGAACGCTGATATATTAATACGCTTTTTACTGGTGATAGGACCTCTTGTGAGTGTGCACGGCTAGGTACCACCACCCCGCCTATTTCTGCCGTGAAGCAGTAATGCGTTTCGGTTTGAAGGGTGGGGCAGCCGTTGTAACTATACTTGAGACCTTAGAACTTTTATCTCAAGGTGGGTGGCGCATTTACGCTGTGGATGTCTATGGGTCAGTAACCACTTAACACCAGGTGGGCTGTGAGCTCATCCACCCATCTAAGCAATAAAAAAATAAAAAGTAAAAACGCTTTTTTTTAACATTATTATATTCGTCGGGTAAACTAGATAAGTAAGTATACCCTGGTACGCCGGGTACTTCGCATCAAGAAGGTACGCCGGCGGGAGCGCGCCCGACGGATAAATATCCGCCAACGACACTATTGTTTATATACCTATATTATTATGTAACAAGTGTAATAAGTACACAAATACGAACTAGAAGAAAGCAACTAAGCAGATATTGCCTTGTAATTAACTATACTTTGATATAAATGCAGTTATAAATAGGTGTGATAGAATCAAGTTTATATTCTAACTTAATAACGGTATTTTTTTTAAAAACTTAAACCTTAGATTAAAAAAAGGTCAAATTATTTTTAAATAACTTCAATCAGATAACAGAATGTAATATTAATTATTATTATTAATAAAACATATTAATTTTTATATTACTAATTAAAATTAAAAAAAATCAATTAGACTGTATTGTATATTTAGCACGGCGACAGAGTTCACTTTGTGAATTAATTGGATGTTTAAAATTCAATTGTAGAATCATTTATTTCCTAAAACCTTTCCCAAAAACATGTAAACAATCATATACTATTTACATATATTTGAATAAGTTTTGAACACATTCGTGTAGATTTATAATAGGAGGAGATAAACCGACTTTTACTGGCCCTAAGCCTAGTCACACCGCACATCTGACGTTAAGCGATTACCGGAGTCTATAGAGATAACATTGTTAATGCCACCACTGACACTGAGACATAGTAAAAGCTTTAATTGTATTGTAATACTGCTACACCACGCTTCTAACTGCCACAAGGCTTGACTACTTCGCGGCAAAAATAGGTAGGGTGATGAGATCTACCCTTAAGGGTTCGAAACACGCTCTATTTTTTTTTATTTTTTATTACATTATTAGGTTCGAATATAACATTAGAAAGAAAAGCGATGTATGGTTTATTCGTGTCAACTTTGACGCTTTATGTAGTAAGCTATGTCCGCTGCTCTCAAACAAGCTTCTGACATTCATTTACAAATCTATAAGACAAACAAACACACAATAATTGTAATGCGTTGATGTCTTTTACAAAGAATCAATTGACGAGCGTTTGTTGTCTCGCAAGTGTCTTGTTAACAAACAGACAACAACAACGATAGCGGACAGTGAAGTGGAAGTTACATGGCGCCGATTTATGAAGAATACTAAAATATAAAAAAACATTTGATGGCGGTACGTTTTCAGACGGTTTGAGAGTGACGTGCCGAACGATCTCTATCAGTACTCACTCGACTGCAGCCTGTCTCTCCACGCGATGGGGTTGGACACCAGCCCTTGGAAGCCGGGCCAGTACAGAGGCTTGTGTTGCAGGTAATGCGCCATCCCCGCCGCCGCAGCCGCCAGCGACAGCCGCGGCGTCAGCAGCCCCGCGCCCACGCTCGCGCCCACCGCCGGCCGCGACAGGATGTGGTCGATGCCGTGAGGGTTCGGAGCCGGCGGGGCGGCCTCCGCCAACGAGCTCAGCGCCGCCAGAGGAGCCCCGAAGCCATTCTCCAGCGAGTTCCGCGACATGGGCGGCGAGCCACGTAGTTCCGACATGTCCACAAGCACAACTCGACCGCGTTACATGCAGTACATCGCGGCACGTCTACCCGCGCCCGCGTCCCGACACCAAATGAAAAGAAACCCTCGAACAAACAAAAAGACCGCTTCAATTGAGAACGCCCAGTCAATCTAAACCTTATATCTGCGACGCCCCTTAGCGGCGTGGCGCGTTTTAAATATATCCGTCCCGCTTCTAACGGAGCAGGTGCGATAGAGACGGCGCGCTCCTGGTGTTAACACGACAGCGTAGATTTAACGAATAGGTATTTAATAGCGTTTCTTGTCTCTTTATAATTAAGTCGGGTGCAGTTTTTGCGGTGTTCCCCCCCTCTGGCCGTGAGCTGCCCCGCCCCCTCTCTCGTCTGCGCTAAAAACTATTGTTCGAGTAATAATACGAATGACGTTATACAGTGAAAATAATTGATGTACTCTTTTTGAAAACTGTTTTGTTGGTTAAAGATTTTATTGTTAAGCATTTTTAGGGTGTAAATAAAAGAGATTGAAAAGTGTTTAATTTTTTTATTCTTAATATAATTGCTAGATGTATAGTGCATTTTTTTCGATTTTAATAGAATTTGAGATAATTAATATTAAGTATATAGAATTCCATGTTTTTTTTTTTCGAAAGCAATGACAAAAATAACTAAAATCAATTCGCATACAGCTTAAATGTATTACAGAAGTAATTTCAAAAATATAAAATAGACCATTTGTTTTTTTTAACAAGTAAAACTTCGTTGAAATAGAAATCGATTTTACTATCGAACAGAATACGCGAGTCCCCAACACTATTAACAAATCACAATAGCTCTACTTCCGTTACATTATTGTATGAGAACATAATTTATTACCATATTATTACTGCAAATATTGATTGTGAATATACTTCAGCTATTTTTCATATAGAAAATTGTGATAGAATAGGTAGAGACATTAGTAGAGTTCTATATATTAAAATATCATACATAATTAGAAATGATAAACAATACGTTTTAATTTAGTATATCAGTAGGCCTTATGATGAAGTACTTAGAGTGATTATTGTTTGTAAATTGCGTTTCAATTAGGACTTACGCTCTACATCTCTACAATGTATCGTTTTTTTTTATTATTACTAACTTATGTTTAAGATTTATTGAGATGGGCCTACAAGAACTGGCTTACTATTGCTTAGTTTAAAGACTATTTTTTTGGAGAGGGGCCGGCCGGTCTTACCAAGCAGACCACAGTATTGTTTTGCAGCAAAAATACATATTATTATATAAGTAGACAAGATGGTAGAGTGTGTTTCACAGAGACCAGTACATATCTTATTAAATCATATTTTTGGAAATCTTAGTTGATATGTTTATTACTAATCAACCACTTATTGTGTTGTTCTGCAGAAATTGTTTTTTAATATGAAAATATTTGTATTTTTTAGGAGCAACATTAAAGTCAGAGAAAAGATTTTTCGAAAAATTTAAGTGAAAAATTACTCACTCGGCATATATTATATAGAGAGCTTGGTTGGGAAGCGTTAATAAGCATCCTCCAAGTAACCCTGACTTTGAGCCCTCTGACTTTCGTCTCTTTCAGCTTCAGAATTATTCATTGGGATGCGATAGGCAGCGCTTGGCTCTGCCCCTGGCATGGCTAAAGTCCATGGGCGACCGTAACCACTCACCAAAAAAAAAGCGTTAATAAGCATTTTCCATGTAGCCTTGGCTTTGAGCCCTCTGACTTTCGTCTCGTTCAGATTCAAAATTCTTCAGGTAGAGTTTGATTGATATCAAGAGAGAATTGTCAAACTGCTTGTCACAGTCTTTCGATCCGAAGTCTCAAAATTTGTACAGTGATGGGGTTATGTCACTGCCCAAAAAAATGGATATATGAATACCAAATGGCACATTCTCTGACCAAATGTAAAAAACATATATGTGATAACAGCGCGAAATTATTGCGACCTGCGGGATAAGACTTCTGGTGCATTCGTATCTAGCGATGCACTTGGTGTTCGAATCCCACAGGCGGTACCGTTTTTTCTAATGAAATATGTACTTAACAAATGTTCACGATTGCCTTCCACGGTGAAGGAGTAACATCGTGTAGTTAATAAAAAGCAAACGTTGGCATTAACATTGTTGATAGCTATGGTATACGGTGAACACGTAACACCAAGCGAGCCGTGAGCTCGTCCAATCTTAGTAGTAATAAAAACATTTAAAAAAATGAACCTGTGCGCATAGATATTACTCTGCTGCGTGCTCCTATCGTGAAGCAACCCCGCGTCAAAGCCTGAACGGTGTGTCAGCCGTTGTATAGTCTGGTTTCAATATGCATTCCGGTCACCGTCCTCGTCGAACCCGTCGTTTGCGACGAAGGGCTCGATGAGCGAATTATAGACCATAGACCATCATAGACAAAGCTCACTGAGTTTCTCGCCGGATCTTCTCAGTGGGTAGCGTTTCCGATCCGGTGGTACATTCTGCAAAGCACGGCTCGTGCTAGGGTCAGTGTTAGGATCACTCCGGTTTGAGCCCCGTGAGCTCACCAGCTAGTTAAGGTTACGCTAAAATAGCTTAGGTAGGAAAAAAAGTGCATACTTTTTAATGCAGCATCGATTTCTGCTCTAAAAATCGATTAACTATCGGGACTAATCGATTGCAAGCCTTCCCATCTGCACAGCGCGGTCTGAACATCATTCGTAACTCAATAATTTATGTGACAAATACAATAATAATTGACAGAGCCGCACAAAGCGCGAAGGGAAGACGTATTTGTCAATGAAATAACATCAATAACGATTGTGGAATTAATTGAAAGTTTTGCCATGCCATTAACAGCGCTAGTGTAGTGTGAATATGATTTAACCGTTATCACGTGTTAGTTGAGGTTTAAAGTCTCTTGTTGGACAGGCGCGATCACAGTTCCAAATCGATCTCACGTCTCAAGGTGGTTGCAGTCGATGGGCTCCGGTAGCTGCCAACATTGAGGGCTCGTCTGAACAACTAGATACATCAGTACAAAACATTGGATTAAAGGTAGGAACTAAGGTCTCAATAATCAATTAATGTATGTTCAAATTATGTTTCTTTATTGCATTTTATATCGTATAGATATCTCTATTAGGTATCTCTATTTTTGTATGGAATAAAGAAAGTTTTATTATTATTATTACTAGGCTTTTTTTTTATTTCTTTCTTTTTTTTGCAGCCAAGTAAATAATGAGGAATAAATATTTTTAATGTCCGTTGCTAAAAACTTACGCGGCTTTTTATAGTTGCATGAAAGTGTTGGGCTTAAGATCAATTAACTTCAGACTGTGGTGGAAATGACTATTGGGACTATGGAAACTTTATTATTATTATTAATATATTATTATTGAGGTCTATTTAGCGTCAATGAACACAAGCTATAAGCGGTCCACCTCGACGCTGCCGTCTTCTTTTGTTTTTTTTTATTCCTATTCTAGTAACCTCAAGGGGTTATCCTAGATTCACCGAGCTAGTGGGTGAGCTCACGGGGCTCAAGCCGAAAGTGTGGCTAACGCTGGCCCTAGCACTTCGCAGAATCTACCACCGGATCGGAAAGGCGACCCGCTGAAAGATCCGGCAAGAAACTCAGTGGGCTGTGTCTGTGGGCTAATTTACTCGCCGCCGCAAGCGACAACAGGTTCGGCGAGAACGGTGACCGGTGCTTGAGGTACCTAAAACCACCGTTAATGGATCGGGAGGATCCGTAATGACGTGTTAAGGGCGCCGTCTTCATTAACCTTTCAATGAGTACTGTACTAATTATTCATGTACTGACTATTATAAAAAATAATGAAGAATTTATAAATATAGAAAACAATAAAAGAAAATTTAAATAAATATAAAAATACTATTACAGTGAAATGACAATAACAATTTTGTGAGATAAAAACGCTCAATTTTCAAATCGTTAAAAAACTTCCGTAACTAACAGTGCCCGTCGCATCGACCGCAACTTGAAAGCACCCCTTTAAAAAGCTCCCTAATTTGTACCCATTAACTTTACATTAAACCACACCCCTATAAATATGGCGGTACTTTAAAAAGAATGTATTTAAAAATAAATACTTTTATTATCGTGAAGCTTAAATGTTTAGTCACAGAGTTAATTCGTTTTAGAAGGTTTTATAAACAAAATGTCATTTAACTCACACAAAATAAAAAACAAATAGATCCGGAATGTCAAATATTCACGAAGATGTTGATTCGAAGAGGGAACCTGGATCCTGTGAATCGCCACATACTGACCACTGGACCAAGGAGTTGATCAAAGAATTTTCAATTACATTTGGCCCGCTTTTATTTTTAACTGACCTCGTTAACTTGAAAATTTTCATACGTACCAAGGATCGAAGACATAACAATAATTTTATTAGTTTGGTCTAAAATCCAAATTAAGAACACGCGAGTAAATAAATGACTAATTTGAAGAGGATTTTTAAGATTTCAAACTACTTTTGTTGTTTAAGTACAGATAGATGTGCTCAAAGCTCACTTGATGTTAGTGGATACCGGAGTAAATAGACAATATCCACGATACCGAAAGTTGTTTCGGTCAATGGAAAGGCTTTCTAACTAACACGAGAACCGAGACGATTTATTTTTTATTTATTTCTTTATTAGACTCACAATACACATCACAAGCTAAAAAGATACATATAAAACACAAGTAAAAAGAAACAAAATCTAGCTTGCAACATAAGTTATGTGCGCACGACAAAACAAGACACAGTGCTGAATTTGTACAACAACATTCCTTACAATAATACGACAAAACAACACGATAACGAACACTAATCTAGCTTATAATGTAAGGAAATAATTTTATTCACAATATACAATTAAACAATTACACTACTAACCTATTAATAGGTAGTGTTTACGTAAAATATGTTATCTATTCCGGGCACCAGAAACCCGAAAAAAATCCTTTGAATGTCGCAAGCTCACATTACAATATGTTAGCCATAGCCGCTTTGT